GATTTAGCTGACATATGACTTTATATAAATTTAAGTGTTCAAAAATAGAATCAATAATCTACTTCAAATAATTTATTTTAAAAAACAACCCAGTGATTTATAGATGAGAGCATAATGTCATGTCACTTCTTAAGGTAAAAATAAGTTCTACCATTTTATCCTTATTCGTGTACATTTACCTCAGCAGGAAGAACACTTGCTCTAAAAGAATTTGAAAAAAAAATTAGCAATTAAACCCGAGAATGCTCATTTATGTTGTTAGAATGTCATGATACTACATGGCATTCTTTAGTAACTATTGAGAAACTGGATTTTCTTATTTTGCTTTTAAGAGCATAATGTGGCTTGACATTCCCCCACTTTTAATGCACTGGAGTGGATTACAGTGAATTTCCAAAATTGTAAGGAAATGTCTTCAGGTTCTACAATATAATCACAGAGGACATCCTTCCCCTGCCCCCTCCACCTCCTTTTATTGGTATTCTCCTAAGTAATGTCACCGACTTTTAAAAATGTGTCATTATAAAATGATTCTTATTCAGCCCTGACTTTCCCAAGGACATTTTTTGCCTTCGGAATTTTTCAAACTATTGGACAAAATGTTTCCATTGATGGGTGAAGTACTAAGTATATAGCCCTTTTGTATTATCATCTATCAGCGTTTTCTTAAAGTGCAGTCCATGGACCACCTGTCCCAGAATCACTTAGGATGCTTGGTAAAAAATATAGATTCCTTGGTTCTCTCCAGATTTATTGAATCAGAGTCTACATTGATATGGCCCAGGAATATGCATTTTAAACAAGTAACTTGGATGATTCTGATGAATGCTAAAATTTGAAGTCCACTGAAAGGCTATATTAGAAACTTATTTAAAGGAGATGTAGAGTGTGAGAGAACATCATTTTAAGATGTCAACACGGTGAATTAATAAAGGGTAGCTTTTTCATTTTAAAATGAAGAAGTAGGGCGGAATGATTTTTCAAGCTCCTTCCAGCCCCCACATCCTGAGATTATTTTGTCCTTTGTATATGCTCTCTACATTGCAGGTCTGTTGTATTCAGGCTTCTGAAGAGGCTTTTCTTTAGTCTTTTAAACTGGTTGTAAGTGCTTCTATTGACAACTTAAGAAAACATGGATTAATTCTTTTTAATCAAATCGTTTTAGGATTTAAAACTTTTTAATAGCAATCAAAGATGGAGTTTAGACACTGTATTTGGGTTGTTCTTCATTCCTTCAAGGTCTTGGCATTTCAAAGTCAATCTAATGTTGGCTAACTGGGATGGAGAGAGGAGATAGCATAATCCATCAAATGGTACATTTTGGCTTATAGATTTTCAAAACCTTAGAAGTTAACATTAAGGCTTTCATTGCAACTTTCGAGGGGGGATATTAGTGAGGGAAAACATTTTCTGTCAGCAGTATAGACTTAGGGCAACGTTTATTGGTTCAAGTTAAAGTCAATACTCTTTTCATTAAGTTTTTTTAGCAATAAAAATCATCATTAAATATTTCTCAAAGACAAAGTTAAGAAAACAGAATGTGCCTACAGATAGTGTAATAAGAACTTCTTAAACCAAGGTGTGACATTTCATCAAAAACATTTGATTTTTACTTGGAAGATGGTTTAAAGAATGAAAGTAATAAATGCTTTTTATATTGCTGAGTTAAAATCAGACTGCTTCACAAAAAATTATATTTCTTTTTTTGTCATATAAAAGCATAATTTGTTGTCTTAATCGGTGAGTGACTTGTCTACCTTAATTAAATCCTAAGAAAATAATCTACAGACTGTTTATTAAAGAACAAAGCAAATACAAAACAAATAGTTTTTCTTGGAGATAAACATGCAAAATGAAAACTGTAGAAGGAGTAACTTGAGGAGAGTGAGACCCAGCTCTCTGGTTAATTTAATCTTTCGGCGTTCTGTCTTCTTGTTGATTGAACATGTCCCCTGCTTAATACAAAGAACAAGTATGTTTCTTCTTCTTACGGTTCTACCCAGAGAGCAAGGGGGAGTTTGTGTAACTCCTTTTGACGTTTCCCTTTGAGACCTACTATCGAAGGCCCTATTTTTTTTTTCAATAGTCTAAATATATGTTTATTTAGTCACAGGAAATCGTGCACACACAATATCAATGCAGGAAACAGACAAGCAACTTCTACTCACTACTTGAGGAGAGAGCATGATGAGGTAATTGTCAGACTGACAATAAATGTCACCCAGGGAGTGTGCTCCCATTATGACAAGATAATTCACAGAGGCAATAGTTTTGCTCCCTCACAGAGAAAATATACCAAATGTGATGCAAAATGTGTCAGAATTTATGTTTCTTCAACTAACAGTTTAAAAATGACTATAGGAAATGAAAAGCAGCATTACAGTTTGGGGATAAATTCCTAAAAGGAATGCTATTTTAAGACAGAGAAATTTCTCCAAATTTCAGTATTATTATAATTGGGGCAGACAATTACATATGCAAAGGCTGTTTTCATAGGGACAACTGTACTTATGTATGACCTTCCTGAAGTGAGAAACATTGGATTGAAGCAGGTAACTTCACTGATATTTCTTTAAGGCAAGTTTTGTTTTTTCTTTTTCTTTTCATTTCGTTTCTTCTTCCCTCCCTTCCTCCCTCCATCCTCTTTCCCCCTTCCCTCCTTCCTTTCTCCCTCGCTCTTCCCTTCCTTCCTCCGGTCATCCTTCTTTCTCTCTCTCTCTTTCTTTCTTTCTGTTACTCCTCATCTGAAACTATTCAGAAAGGAGATGGCAACATGTACATAGTTATCTTTCTGCCACTGGAGATGTTTTATCATATTCAGAGAATCTAAATGGGGTATTGAAAGGAGATCTTGTTTTTTGTTTTAAAATTTTTTTCTTTTTCGTGTGAGAGAAAGGTTTGCTAGAGTCCTCATGAATAGAAAAGGTAAACTGGGATTGGAAAAATATATACATTTACAGCTTACCTTTCATCTGAAGGGCTTTCATGTCTGCTTCACAGGATGTTATAATAATCTATTGTCAAAAAATGTTTTTTGCAACTTATGGAAACATTATGACAGTACAGCTTGTATGATCCAACAGAACTTTGATAAACTCTAGGATTAAAAAGAGAGGTAATATAAAGGCAGGTTTGGAGAATGAGAAGGAAATGATGGTCTTTTTGACAAGGAGTCAAATATTTGATTCACTGTGTTTTTGAATTCCAGCAAGCCTTGATCTCCTTGGCTCAGAAAATCTAGCAGGAAATTGATTTTCAGTGAGGGAGCAAGTTGAAGATTTGATATGCCACTTTTGACTTGTCATGCCCTGTGTGGAAGGAGAGAATATGCTAGGCAAATATTTGCACATTTCCCTGGAAGGAAATAAAAAATGCATTACAAATGAGTTAGTCAGTTGACCTCATGTTGTTTGAGTAGAAGTGACTTCTCCTTGATTATTTCACTGCCTGTAAATGCTTTTCCTTTGCATTGAACGATGATGACTCTGTTGGGAATAGTCTGTGAGCAGCTTAATGTCTGGCTCTCATGCTCCTTATGGATGTGGCAAGTTCCTCCCCTCTTCATGGGCCTGTGTTGTTGGAATCCTGCAAAGACCAAACAGTTGCATTTAACCCATCCTTTTCTTCAAAGGAACGGCTCTTGAATTGTTGCTAATTTTTCAGTGTTTTAAGATAAAAGAGATCAGGTATAGGGGTTCTCTAAGAGAATTTAGCATTTTGTGTTTTCATTTCTATGGTAGTTGAAATACATTAATATAAGCATAATCAGAAAGGATCTTATATCAGATACTGCCCACAATTTTAGATGTTTGTCTTTGTGATCATGATTGCTTTTAGGCACCAAGTATTATTCTTTTACCTTTCACCAGTGAGTGGGAGGACAGAGACTGACTAAATGCTTGAGTGGTGTGTTTGGAGCCCACATAAATCAACAGTTGCTGTATTCCTGATAGGTTTGCTGTAGTTAAATAGGGAAAAGGAGAGTTAAGTCATCCCAAGGCACATGTTAATGTGGGCATGCCAAACCAACCAGAATCTATACTTTAGCAGCCAGCATCATATGCACAATGTAAGCACTGATTTAGTTTCACCAAAACATCATCATTTTATATTAAATTAATATCATGAATTTGAATTTTATTGGCTTTATAGTTTTAATTTGTATACATGTTAGGGTTCTATAGTTATATAAAACTCTAAGCATAAGGAAAGTTATTCCTAGTTTTGTATAGGTACTTATGTGGGTAAATATGTAATGTAATGTAATGTAATAAATATAAATTTTTAGGTAATATTTAGGTAATGTAATAAAAATAAAAACACTTTAAAAAGGTTTTCTCCTTGAGTGATGTTAAAGATAATCACAGCCAGACATTACTTAAAGCAGTGAAAACAGTTTATTCAGTAACTACTGACAGTAGGGGAAAGAGCAGAGCTCCATTCTGATATGTGCAGAAGTGACTGGACAATTTAAAGGGAGAATGAGGGGGAATGGTATGGGCCTGAGCAGAGTCAGGGAAGCGAAAAATTGTAAAGGGCAGAAGGGGATTGGTCCATGTGTATCTGGGTTTGCTAGCTGGCGCTTATAGAAGTTAGGCTCCTGCCCTCCCACAGAGACAGAGAGACAGGGGCTCTCTCTTGAGGTGTGGGCTGGAACAAACAGTACATTCTTTTGGCAGCCTTGAGTTTTCTCAGGCAGGCACTTTAAGGGAGACTGGGATCATCCTAGGGATGTGGCCTGGAGCTGTTAGAAATATGTTAGTATTTCTTCAAGTCTTTATAGGCCAAGGTTGAGGCGTAGTCGAGAAGAGGGCTCCGAGGAGCCTGGCTAGAGTTTCGTCAAGGAGAGAATCTTTGTCAGTGATAGTTACAGAGTGGCAGTATGCCCTCATTTTCTTATGATAAACAGTGACTGCTGTGTATTAACTGTTGTCGAGAGAGGTTGATTTTAACATCTGATAACTGAAAAAAACATGAAGAATTATTCTATTTTGTTTCAGGGCCGAGATCTGGACTATAAAATTCAGGAATATAAAGAAGCTGGGAAAACCTTTCCGGAAAGTCAAATAATAGAATGGTTTATCCAGCTGTTGCTAGGAGTTGACTACATGCATAAAAGGTATGTTCATTTGTTACTGAGAGCCAGGATTTTTTTAACAGTCATGTCTGAACTTGAAAAATGAATTTTGGGGAGTAGAATTGAAAGGAAGCAGGTCCAAAAGTTAAATGACTATAACTAAATATCTACAATGCTTTTCTATGAGGAAATTGTTGAATGATTATATCTAGAAGATTTACTTAAATAGCTTTTTTTCTTGTTGTTCTAGAAATCAAGTTGGCCTTGCATACAAGACAGAAACTTGTATTAAACACATTCCCCTACATCTGATCATATTCTGTGAGTCACAAGCTGTTCTCAGATACCTTTAGCGTGCTGTGGATTTATTATATCTTACAGCAGGCTTGAGCTATAAATATCCTGGCATGCTACAAATGAATTGTGTGGTCACCTTGGAAGTGTGTCATGCACATTTAGCCGTGTTCACATCCCAAGATGAGTTGAGTAATTGAGGCAGAAGATATTCTTTGGCCTCAGAGTGATAAGTACTCAGAGCAAAAGTCAATTTTGACATGAAATATCTGATAAAGAAAGTCAAAGTATGTTTTATGAGTTCAATTGCCTATAATTTTCATTTACAGACTCTGCCTCAAAAATATATTTTGAAACTTTTTATTATTTTTTTGGAAGGTCAAAAGTAAGAAGTTTTAGATGTTGAATGTTTCATAGACCCATAAAATAGTATGAATGCATTTGAAAAGATGAACATACATAGACAAATGAAAGTAGATACTATGAGATGTCCATATTAGCTTTCAACTTAGGAGTGGACAGAACATGTGGTAATATTCTTCTAGAACATAAGTGGAAATTTATAGAGTATGCCAAGGTCTGGCTATCCATGGATGTCACATAGTTTAAGTGTGTCATCTGTGGTTTCTGATTGCATAAAACTTAATTAGATTATTCTGTACTTTGCCATGTATCTTCTGAAACACATGCTCAATGATAGAGATAGCCACTGACTTATTGACAACTCATAACAATCTTTTGAATGATGTCAAACTATCCTAAGAGAAAATGATAAAAGAATATCAAATAATCTTTTAATAAACTAACCAAAGCTGCTGAATGTAGGACATCTGTGTATATAGTTAGATTGGTATTTATTTTCTTTACTATTCCGTGGAATATTTATTAGCCCCAAGGAAAACAACACATATGAAGATACCAGCTTTGGTGTTCTATGTGCAAAATATAAAACTGAAATCTGGTTGATTTAGGAACCCAAATATTTTTTATATGCTTGGGTCTGCTTACTAATAGTTAAAATAAATGAGTTTAAAATAATCCCTCAAAGAAAGGATTTAATTTTTTTTTCCTTTTTTGGTGAGGAAGATTGGCCCTGAGCTAACATCTGTGCCAGTCTTCCTCTTTTTTTGTACGTGGAAGGCTGCCACAGCATGGCTTGATGAGCAGTGTGTAGATCTGTGCCCATGATCCGAACTCATGAACTCTGGGTTGCCAAAGCAGAGTGTGTGAACCCAACCACTACACTACTGGGCCAGCCCCAAGGATTTAAATTTTTTTCAAATCCTGCAACATTCCAAGAAAGTCATTAAATGGAGCTAAATGTTTGTATATTTGTGGATCTGTGGATCTGAAATACCATCCTCTGTGATTCAGATAATAAATGATGGTGCTTCTTATTCATTATGTTATTATAACAAATTGTTGTAAAGTTTTTCTGTATAGACAGAGAAATTTCAATTTTATATTTAAGTTCATTTATTCATTTATTCAGTAGTAGTAACTTAAAAATAAGGCCCAACTTCAAAGAGCTGTTAGTAAACTAGCAGAGATAAAACATGTATCCAAATAACTATAAATCGTGTAGCATGGTGGATATACAGGATTCGGAGTCTCTATTGTGTACTGTATTATGACCCTGGACAAGCTGCTTAACCTCTCTGAGCCTTTGTTTCCTCATCTGTAAAATAGGGATAATAATGGGACTCTCCCTGCTTACTTAGTCAGCCCTGGTGGTCTAGTGGTTAAGACTCAGAGCTCTCACTGCCGTGGCCTGGGTTTGTTTCCCAGTCAGAGAACCACACAGCCCAGTTGTCAGTTGTCACACTGTGGTGGCCGTGTGTTGCTGTGATGCTGAAAGCTTTGCCACCAGTGTTTCAAATACCAGCAGGGTCATTCATGGTGGGCAGGTTTCAGCGGAGCTTCCAGACTAAGATACACTGGAAGAAGGACCTGGCCACCCACTTCCAAAAAAATTGGCCATGAAAACCCTATGAATAGCAGCAGAGCACTGTCTAATATAGTGCTGAAAGGTGAGAGGATGGCCCAAAAAGACTGAGCGTTTGCATTCTGCTGTACACAGGGTCACTAGGAGTTCGAATCAACTTCATGGCACTAACAACAACCCTGTTTACTTATAGGGCTCTAGGGAATATGCATTGAGATATTATACATTTAAAAAGTTTTCAAACTGTTAAGCCCTATGTAAATGTTGTTGTTTGTGATTGTAATTCAATGTAGAAATGAGGGCATAGCCACCAGAAGGGCTAAAAAAATTTCTGACACTAACAAGTGTTGGCAAGGATGTGGAGCCACTGGAACTGTCTTACGTTGCTGTTAGGGTGTAAATTGGTATAACCACTTTGGAAAAATGTTTAATAGTACCTCCAAATCTATACATTCAAATATCCTGTCACCCACTAATTCTATTCCTGAGATGAAAAATGAGTACCTATGTCCAACAAAAGACATACAGAAAAGTCCTTAGGAGCCTTATTTGTCATAGCCAAAACACTGAGAAATGTCGATTTACAGTAAAATGGTTAAATAAATTTTTGTATAGCCATACAATGGAATACTACTCTACAATAAAAAAATAACACAATTGATATGCATGACCTAGATGAATCTCAGAGACATGATGTTGGGGGAAAGAAACCAGATGCAAAATAGTGCATACTATATGACTCCATTTGTATGATGTTCAAAAGTGGGCAAAACTAGTCTATGGTGAGTCAGAATAGAGATTACCCTTGGAAGGGGATTTTGACTGGAGGGGGCACAAAGAAACCTTCTGGGATGGTGGAAATGTTCTATATCTTGATCTAGGTGGAAGATTACAAGGATGATATATATATACAGTATATATAATTTATATATATATATATAAATTCATCAAGCTTAAAGTTTATACAGTTTAATGTAAATTATACTTTATTGTAACAATAAACAAGTGATGAGTGCTAAGAAAAGAACAGTTTAAGTGCTATAGGAGATCAGAAGATGGATATATTCTATTTGAGAGAATCAATGAAGCCTTCTTGGAAGAAGTGATATTTGACCCAAGGTAGGTTTTAAATATGGTGAAAGATGGGTCAGAGCTGTCTGGGTTTAGGGAACAGAGTGAGCAAAGGCACAGAGCTGGGAAAACAGGGCACTTTCAGAGTGAGTGATGAGTGCTTCAGTTGGGAAGGCTCTTGGGATACATGAATGAAGTTGTAAGGAAAGGTAGATTGAGATCATGTTGTAGAGGGCTTTATTTTGTAGACATTGATGCCGCAGAAGCCTTTTGAGTGGAGCTATAATATGACCAGAGCTTCAGGAAGATTAGATGATAAATTATAGAGGAGAAAGAGAGGAACTTGGGTTATTCATCTGGAGCCTTCTATAATATCCATGCATGAGGTCATTAGACCTGAACCAGTGTGGCAGCAGTGGGCAGGATGTGAAAGGATGAGCGTGAGCTTGGTAAGTTGACTGGGCTTGAAATTAAGTGGATATGTGAGATGTGATAAGAGAAGGTCAAGCGTGAACCCAAGGTTCATCACCCAAGGGTGAGTGAGAAGTTAGAAAGACAGGTTTGAAACAATGATGCTGAGTTTAATTGTGAATATGCTGGGTGGAATATGGAGAGCGAATGAGAGAGAGAGAGAAGGAAGTTAGAAGTGAGGCCCTAGATCTTGGGAAAACACCAAGAGTCATCTGGGTTCCTCCAATATCAGAGCCTTGAAACAAAAACTGCGGTACAAGAAGTTTATCTAGGAGGTGATCTCAGGAAGCAGAAGCCAGTGAGTGGGGAGAGAGAGTGAGATGGAGAAGTGAGAAAATCCGTATGGGGTGCATTGTTGAGCCGGTCACTGCTGTGGGTAGAGGGATATAGAGGCAGCATTCTTCTATACCTATGTTTTAGATTTGGGGCTCCTCCTTTCGCATTCTTTCAGAGCTTTTAAAAAAATTCTTGCCCATATATAACTACTGTTTTCTAGCACTATTATGAATTTCCTCTTGAAAAATTCTTCATATTTCTGGGAATTTGGGGTAGAAAGGGGAGGCAGGTGTCTCCATCTTGATCCAATCTCCAGAATAGTTTTTAAATGGAGAAATGCTATATGTTATTTCTGATTGTAAATATATAATCTACTTTTCACTTCTGTTAGTTTCCAATATTTAATTTGTATAGGTCTAAAATATGTTTTCTATAGAAAATAAACTATCTTAATTATCTGTTTTTAAAACAGTTTATATCCAAAAGATATTCTATTAACATATGGCATAGACACATAAATAATGATGTAAAAGCTGAGAATATTCACAGTTCACTAAATCTACCTTGAGAATATGGCACTAAAACGCATTCCTGCTGAAGGAAGTCATGCTCTGCTAACAAGAACCCTCCAGCGCAGTGGCTTACAATGATCATTTGTTGCTTGTGTTGCATGTTGGCAGCTGCAGATCAGCTGTGGGTCTGCTCTACATGTCCTCTCATTCCAGAACCTGAACTGAAGGAGCAGCTCCTATCTGGGACATGCTTTTCTCACGGCAGAGGGAAAAGCAGGAGGGTTAGTGGAAACACTCAATGACTCTTAAAAATTCTGCCCAGACCTGACAATCACCCTGTCTGCTCACATGCCATTGATCAGAGCAAGTCACATGACCAAGCCCAGTGTCTGAGGGGTAAGAATGCCTATTCCTCCCAAAGGGGACACTCACTGCCAAGCACAAGTTGTGTGAATATTTGGGAGCAAGCATAC